AATAAACCAGATATGAATGATTGCTATGTCTGGCATTTCATTGTATAGATTTTTATAATAAAACTTCTGTTGTCATATTCATATTTGTGTTGTGTGTGTGTGTCCGCACGCAGCTGTGTTTGCATTTTTCCCTCTAAATCTTGGTAAGTACAATTCTTAAGAGTTGCTAGGCTAAAAAAAAAGCTTATACACTAGTCTAATTCTGTTGTGGTGTATCCACGAAGTGTAAACTGGTAATAGTTGGAAACTGATTAGAAATTAGCTTGAATTTTTATCTTTATGAGTGACTTTGAAGATGTTTTGGAAAAGTGGTCTATAAATATATATTATAAGCTTTTCTTTTATGGATGTGCTTTAGAAAATGCACCCTTGTATGTTATGCTAGCTGTAGGTAAAAACCTCTCACTATATCCAGTATATTTAATATGTAGCACTTAAATTCTGCTGGAGAATTAGGCTGATTTGCTGCATGACATGGTCTTAAATTTTAGCAAGAACAAGCATGTTTCTGTCATTTATAACAGACATAAATAGGTGCCCATGGGGGGAAAAAGTCATTTATTGCTGGTTACTTCCCATTTCAAAGACCAATCCTGCAATATTTTATATTTTTTGTATAATTAATTTGCTCCATCTGAACATAAAGTAGCTGTGGATTCAGTTCACTAACATACATGCCTGACTAATATTAAAGATCAACACACTGTAATAGGAGACCTCTTATAATTGGTACCTAGTTCAAAGTTTGTGCATACAAAGCGATAAACAATGTAGTCTCCCCCCACCCCCACCCCCCACCGTATCTGCAAGACCAATAAGGATGAACTCATGTGACTGAGGAAGGGAATCTTAATTCCTTTTAAAACCCTAGAATTATGCATGTGCATAAAATGTTCTGTAAGAACACAGAGTGTTTAAAAAGTGCAGAGATGAGTTTCTGAATTTCAGCTGTTAAATACTGCTTGGACCTCAACCAGCTTTTCATTACTTGATAGAAGAGAAATCCTGTATGTTGCTAACAGTAATGATGCCAACCTGATGGAGAGCTGAGGGGCTCTGTGAGATGAAATAGGTTTAAGGGCTCCTAAAAATACAGCGTTTCAGCTGCTAAAGAAGTTGTTACAACTCGTATTTTTAGTTTTAGCAGATCTCTGAATTACTTGCCTTTGACGTCTTGTTTACTGCTACAATACACCACTGCGGGAACGTGCCACTTCTGGAATTGGGCCAGTGATTTAGTCTATTGCAAACTTTTTTTTTTTTTACAGGAGAGCTGAAAGGGAAAAGCACTGTGGAAGCAGCAGTACCCAAAAAAATATGTGCATCTCCTTTTTTTCTTTTTTCCCTTCTGTGCCTGTATAAGTTCACACCTTAGCTTTTCACTGTACCAGGCCCCAGTGGTAGAACAAATCCTCACCTCTTACTATTTTAATTTCTCTGCTGGTATTCAGCTGCAGGGAGAGTTTTCATAATTGTGTCCAGCCTATAATTCACATCCTTCAGTTGTCTCTCCAAATCTTCCGTATATCTAGAAAGTCTAAAACAAAATAACAAATACATAAAGGAGATTGAGGGAGCTCTGGAATCCTTGCCTTTGTGCAGCTGATAGCTCTAGTAGCAGAACTCAAGAATATTAAAATACTCCTCTCTTTTCTGTGAAGTCCCTGCATATTTAGTTAAGTTGTGGTGATTTCCAATATTGCATGTAATTTAAAGGACTGGTATATTAAAGTACAATGACTCTACTACAAATGTAATATCAGCCTATAGCAAGAACTATTCCCTTGTTTTTTACAGTAAGGACTGAAACACAGCACAAAATTCAGTGATACCAGGAGAATACTGGTTAGTCACTTAGCAGACTAATAGTACATACTGATTTAGATACAAATTTCATTGAATTCATTGTATAAATGTAAATTTTCACATTCATATTTGTGTAAATATAAATTTCATTGAATTCAATGAAATTTCCAGATAAATAGGCATAGAATTGTAGCCTAAATCTTTTTTTTTTTCCAAATAATTGTTGTAAAGGCTTATTATTTAGGGACTCTTTTTCTATATTCATTGGGTGCTAGATGTAAGGTTACTTTTAAATTTAGGACACTGTTTTTACATCAACAGCCAAAAGCCATTTGCTTTAGAGCACGGAATGATGCCTCAGTTGAATTTTTTACTTAGTATCAGAGGAGGAATATTTGGGTGGGAAACTGCCAGCGTGAGGATCACTCTTTTCACAGGCTGCCGTCATTCTCAGAAGCTATGGGTTTGGACACATTCCTGGAGCACCCCCTGACCTAAGATGCAACTGCAGCATTATTGCCATACAAATATATGGCATAAATTAAAAGCTGGGTCCCTAAATGTATATTTGGTCTAAAATTGGTTGGCAACATTGTGATGTCCAAGGGCTCTGCTGGGGAGAATGATGATCCAATTTGGGCAGAACCAGGATTTTTTTATGTTATTTTGAGTTTGGGAGTTTTGTTTTATAAAATATATTAAGATTATGTCAAGAATGTTACATTTTGTGTGAGGTTTCCACTTCAAAATGGCAGGAAACCTGTCACCCAATTTTGCCAAATGTAGGCAGTAGAAGCTCCAGAGCCACAAAAATAGTTGGGGACCTCAAGTTGCTCTCCTGTGGTAGATCCCTAAAAGGTGGATCCCAGGTCTGCAAGAACTGAAGACCCCTGGGATTACGATATAAGCAGCAGCATACCTCTGAAAGTCCCTCGCAGAAATGGTGTCATAAGCTCCTGAGGAAATCTGCCTCCTGACAGCATCCTGCAGAGAGAATTGGTCAGTATGACTTAGGATTCAAAAGGAAAGAGAGACTGTCACTATCTCTCCATTGGAACAACTGGGATAGGCAGATGTTGAGCTGCTCCTCCCAGCATCTTTCGTATAGTGGCTATATTGCCTGAGCTAGCTGAAAGTAACAGCTGGGCAGCATCTAGAATGCCAGATTGCCTCACCCTAGAAAAGGATTCCCCAAAGTGGTCAATAACCCCTAAGGGCCAATGGGACTATCCATTATTGTTACCGTTGATGTTACTATTATTCGTAATACTATTAGTTAAAGTAGTATTCATTAAATTATTTTTGTATAATAAATGTTTGGGGGTCAATGAACATCTGAAACTTCATGAATGGGCTGATGAGCTGGGGACCCCTGCCCTAGAGTGTAGCAACAGACTCTAGGGACTCTATTCTTAGTGGGCATATGTACAGAAAAAAAAGAGAGCTGGGAATGAACAACATTTTCTGTTCTCCCAACACATTTCTTTTCCTGCAACATACAAACAAAAAGGCATGGATGTCAAGTGAGATGAAATGTACAAGAGCGATGCTGTCCCTGGTTTAGAATTAATTTTCCTTAATAAATTAACATTTTTAAGTAAAAAAATTGGCCTGTGGGTAGTGGCAAAGAGCAAAGGTAAGTTTAAAAACAATCAAAATGACAAGCATATTTGCTCCTATGTCTACTAAAGCTCAAAAGAAAATACCAAAGAAAAAAGACAGAAATAGCAGCAAAAGAAGAGATAATATAGATGAACTCAGCTAGAGTACAGGTAGTCCTCGCTTAATGACCGTTTAATGATGGTTTGAAGTTACAATGGCCTCGGAAAGGGTGCTTTATGGCCCAAAAAGCACTTCTGGCCATCATAAAATGTTGTGTTGCCCCCCTGCGGTCATGTGGCCACATTTCGGGCATTTGGCAACCAGTTGACATTTACGACCAGTTGCCAAGTGCCCCACAATCATGTGACCACCATTTGCAATCTTCTATGCCGGCTTCTCCACTGGAAGTTGGCAGGGAAGGCTGCAAGTGGAGGGGACGCAGCAATCTGCAGAAATGGAGAAACTTCTCAGCAGCGGGCAGGAATGGAACTCAAATCCTGACGATTTGAGCTCCTTTCCTTCAACCCCAGGAAGGATTTCCCCTCCATCCATGGAGGGGAGGGCAAACCCTTTGGTGGGCTTTAGGAACGTCTGAGAGTGAAAGGGCTGCCTTTCAATTCCATGCGGAGCTGAAACCTCTGGCAGGCAGCCGTTTTGCTCTCAAAGACCTGCCTGCTGGGAGGATTTCAGCTCTTCGCTGACTGAAATTCCTCACCAGACAGCTCTTTCACTCCATCTGCTTAACGACCGACCCAGGAGATTGCTTAACAACCACAACTGGGAGTGCCCGGATTGAGGTTGTTGTGTTAAGCAGTCATGCTTAACTGCTTCGCTCAACAACCAAGATTCTGGTCCCAACTGTGGTCGTTAGGCAAGGGCTACCTGTAACATACACAGGTTAAGAATTTGGCTTTCCTGAGGACAAAAACTTAAACGTTTGAATGAAGTATTTTGAATTGAAGTTTCTGAGATTAGAACATGGAGGTCTCTAAAAGAAACTCTACAATACAACTCACTTTGTTCATCAAGGTAACTATCCTGTTTCTTCAGCATAACATGATCAGTGCAGATTTAATCAGCACCTGCAGAGAAGTATCCACCCCCCCCACCCCCCTGCAAGTCTTGCTGTGCTGACTCATTGTAATGAGAGGGTGTTCCTAGGAGGGATGAGCAAAAAACATTGGGAGTGTATGCAAAGAGTATATATTCCCAGCAGGGTCACCCAAGGCATGAAGGTCACCCCAGCTGGTCAGCTAAAGCAAGCAGGCACCTATATTGGGCAGCAGTGATATAGGAAGATGTTGGAGGCAGACAATCACTTTGGTGACATTGGCAAAGGCATCAATTCATACTGCTTGGGAGAAGGCAATGGTAAACCACTCCTGTATTTTTAACCAAGAAAACCACATGAATAGAAAATATAAAATGATTGACGATATAGTGCCAGATGATGGGCCCCTCAGGTTGGATGGCACTCAACATGCTATTGGGCAGTGTATTAAAATGATTGACGATATAGTGCCAGATGATGGGCCCCTCAGGTTGGATGGCACTCAACATGCTATTGGGCAGTGTATTAAAATGATTGACGATATAGTGCCAGATGATGGGCCCCTCAGGTTGGATGGCACTCAACATGCTATTGGGCAGTGTATAAATTTGATTAATAAAATAAATAAATAAATACTGAGGAACAGCTGAGTTTCTTTTGGAGCATTAATAGTGTTTATGACGTGGCTAGATTACAGCCTTCAGGACATCTAGTTGCTAATGCTTCCATACAGGAAAAGAAAATCTGAAGCTGCAAAGACAGAATTACAGTAGGAACATGGAACATAAGAATAATGAACACAGGAAAACTCAACACAGTGAAAGATGAAATGACTACAAATTGTCATCTTAGGCATCAGTGAACTGAGATGGACTGGAATTGGACACTTTGTCAGAAGATCACACCATTTATTACCCAAAAATATAAAAAACAAAAGAATGGCACTGCTTTTATAATTAGGAAGGGTATAGCAAGAGGAGTACTTGGCTACAACGTAATCAATGACCGAATAATTTGATTGCATTGTAGCCAAGTACTGATAATAATTTGATTAGACGTCCTGGACAATCCTTGAATATAACAATTATCAGGTTTATGCTCCAACCACCGATGCAGAAGAAGAGGAGGTTGATGACTTCTATGATCAAGTTCAATTTGAAATTGACAGAACATGCAAGCAAGATATGCCAGTTGTGACTGGACACTGCAACGCCAAAGTTGGAAACATACAGTGGGGCAAAAAAGTATTTAGTCAGCCACCAATTGTGCAAGTTCTCCCATTTAAAAAGATGAGAGAGGCCTGTAATTTTCATCATAGGTATACCTCAACTATGAGAGACAAAATGGGGGAAAAAATCCAGAAAATCACATTGTCTGATTTTTAAAGAATTTATTTGCAAATCATGGTGGAAAATAAGTATTTAGAAATCAACTGTGGGAGCAATAATTAGAAAATGGAAGACATACAAGACCACTGATAATCTCCCTTGATCTGGGGCTCCATGCAAGATCTCATCCTGTGGGGTCAAAATGATCACAAGAGAAATCAACTGTGGGAGCAATAATTAGAAAATGGAAGACATACAAGACCACTGATAATCTCCCTTGATCTGGGGCTCCATGCAAGATCTCATCCTGTGGGGTCAAAATGATCACAAGAGAAATCAACTGTGGGAGCAATAATTAGAAAATGGAAGACATACAAGACCACTGATAATCTCCCTTGATCTGGGGCTCCATGCAAGATCTCATCCTGTGGGGTCAAAATGATCACAAGAACGGTGAGCAAAAATCCCAGAACCACACAGGGGGACCTAGTGAATGACCTGCAGAGAGCTGGGACCAAAGTAACAAAGGCTACCATCAGTAACACACTACGCCGAATACTTATTTTCCACCATGATTTGCAAATAAATTCTTTAAAAATCAGACAATGTGATTTTCTGGATTTTTTCCCCCATTTTGTCTCTCATAGTTGAGGTATACCTATGATGAAAATTACAGGCTTCTCTCTGTAATTTTAAGTGGGAGAACTTGCACAATTGGTGGCTGACTAAATACTTTTTTGCCCCACTGTAAAAATATAGTTGGATTATATGGCTTGGGAAACAGAAATGAAGGAGACCAATTTATCAATTTCTGTCACTCCAATGATTTCTTCATAGCTAATACTGTCTTCAAACAACCAAAATGATACCTCTATAACAGGGACATCACCAGATGGAATATATAGAAATCAAATTGGCTGTATTATTGTTAAAAGGAGGTGGAGGAGTTCAATTACAGCATCAAAGACATGTCCAGGTGCTGACTGTGGAGCAGATCACAAACTGCTCGTGTGCAAGGTCCAAGTTAAGCAGCAGCAGCAGCAGCAGAAAGCCAGTCAGTTCCACAATATGATCTTGAACATATACCCACCATTTTCAAGGAGGACATCAAGAATTGTGTTGATGTCCTGAACCACATTGATAGAGAACCAGAGGAATTATGGAATGAACTTAAAGAACTTTTTAAGGATGAATGTGAAAAGAGACTGCCAAAAATGAAGAAAGAGAAGGCAAACTGGATGTCAGAACAAACTCTGGGAATTGCCAAGAAGAGAAGCCAAAGCCAAGAAAGACAAAAATCTGAGAAAGGAACTTAACAAAAAGTTTCAGAGAGCTGTTATAATAGACAAGAAGCAGTATTACAACAACATCTGTAAAGACATTGAGGATGGAAATAGACATGGAAAAACAAGGCAAGTCTTTCAAAAGATCTCTGAAGTCAGAAGGAGGTTCCAACCTTGAATTGGTATGCTAAAGGACTCCAATGGACAGAGAGTAACTGATTCAAAGGAGATCAAACAAAGTTAGAAGAAGTATACTGAAATACTGTACAGATAGTCCTCACTTAACAGCCCTAACTGGGACCGGCAATTCCACTGCTAAGTAAAGTGGTCACTAAGTGGGAAATCATGTGACCGTGACTGTGCTTTCCAGCTGGAAAGAGACGAAACTACTCAGTTTCACACCTTTGGCTTTTGTCTCCTAACCACTCCCCCGCCTTTTGGAATGCTTGAGTGCCTGCTTACTGTCTTGTACACATCGAAAGCAATGTGATCACACTGCAGCCAGGGACTAGGAGCCACAGGCAAGCTAGGAAAACAGCTTACTTTCTTGAACTCCCTTTCTTTCTAATCTCTCTACTCTGCAAGAGGTGGGGAGGGTCAGCCAAAGAAGAAATTGCCTACAGAAATCATTTGCTTTTTTTCTCCCCCCTCCTTGCAGAATGGAGAGATTTGAGAGAAAGAGATTTCAAGAGAGTACTGTAAGCTGTTTGTGTAGGACACCTTCGGCTCCCAGCCCCAAGCTGCTGATGCAATTCCATTGCTTTTGATGTGTAGAAGAGCAAACAGCTTACTCTCTCCAATCTTTCTGCTCTGCAAGGGGGGGGGGGAATCACAGGTCAGGCATAGGACAACACGTACTGCCTGTAATGGCCATCATGTGACTGGGGGATGCTGTGAAGGTCATAAATGGTCGTAAATGGGCCATAAAGTTATCATAACTTCGAACGGTTGCTGAACGAATGGTTGGTAAGTGAGAACTACCTGTACAGTAGAGATGTCAACATCCAAAATACCTTAGAAGATATCCGCTACTTACTCTAGTACTAGAAGATAAAGTTAGATTAGCACTCTGGTCATTACCAAGTCAGAAGTCTACAGGAACTGATGCAATACCCACTGAAACATGGCAAGCAACAGAAGAAGAATCAGTCAAGGTTCTAACCAAGCTACGCCTGTAAATCTGAAATCTGACACAGTGGCCAACCGACTGGAAGAGGACAATCTACATTCCGATACGAAAGAAGGGAGACTTAACTGAATGTGCAAACTATCATACAATATCCTTAATTTCACACGCTAGCAAAATAATGTTTAGGATTATCCAACACAGATTAGAGCTCTACATGGAAAAAGAGATGCCAGATGTTCAAGCTGGCTTTAGAAAAGGCCAAGGAAGATGAGATGTTACTATTATTATTTTTAATAATAGCTTTATTAAATTTTAAAAAGCAGAGATATAAAAACTAACACAAACTAATAATCAAGAAACAGAGTAGAAAGAAAGCTAGAAATAAAGAAAACAAAAGTGCTAGAAAACAGAAAAGGAGAAGAAAAAAAGAAATACAAAAAGAATTACTTCCAACTTCTTATACAGCAGATATAAATGAAACATAAAATAACCACTTACTCTAAAACTACATCTTAATGTACATATTTTGCATAGTTAATTTGACCAATCATCAAATCCATACATCATAATTTCATTTTTTTTGTTTCCCACAAAAAGTCCAAAAGGGGCTCCAATTAGCATTTATCAATACTTTTTCTCTAAGCAAAGCTGTCAGTTTTGCTATCTCAGCTAATGTCATCAACTTCATCATCCATTCTTCCATTGTAGGTAATGTCAAATCTTTCCATCTTTGAGCGTATAAAAGTCTAGCTGCAGTTATCATATATAAAAGTAGAAGTCCACACATTTTTTCCAATTGTTTATCCATCAATCCCAAAAGAAATGTCTTTGGTTTTGACTGTATATTAACCTTAAAAATCTTCTGAATTAATATATGTATTTGAATCCAAATTTTTTTAGCTTTATTACATGTCCACCAAGTATGATAGAAAGTCCCTTCTTGTCGTTCGCATTTCCAACATATATCTGAAGTCCCTTTATACATTTTTGATAATATTTCTGGTGACAAATACCATTGATACATCATTTTAAAAAAAAATTCTTTTAAACTGTAACACAATGTAAATTTTAACCCTTTCGTCCACATATTTTCCCATTGTTCCATTTGTATATTATATCCAAATTTTTAGCCCATTTTATCATACAATCTTTAACGTGTTCATCTTCTGTTTCAAATCTCAGCAAAAGCTTACACATTTTAGCAATAAGATGTTCATCATTAGTACACAATTCAGTTTCAAAGACAGTTTTATTTTGTTCAAAGCCATATGTCTTTTTATCAACTTTAAAACTTTCTACAAGAAGATGAGACATTATTGCTGATGCATACTGGATAATTGAGAAAACAGACTTTCAAAAAGAAGTCAGTATGTGTTTCATTGATTACAGAAAGGTCTTCAATTATGTCGATCATGTCAGGCTGTAGAAAATGCTCAAAAAAATGGGAATCCCAGAACAACTCATTGTCCTCATGAGAAACTTATTTACAGGTCAGGAAGCCACAGTACAGACAGAATATGGTAACACAGGCTGGCTCCAGGTTGGCAAAGGAATGAGACAAGGCTGTATATTCTCCTCTTATTTATTTAACCTATATGCAGAATATATATTAAGGGAACTGGATTGGAAGAAGATGAGCATAGTTTTAGAACTGGAGGAAGAAACATCAATAACCTGTGCTGTACTGATGATACTACCCTGATAGCCAAAAATGCAAAGGTTCTGCAAGCCTTAGTAATAAAAATCAAGGAGCACAGTGAAAAAATGGGACTAAAATTAAATACAAAGAAGGCCTAATTAATGAGAACAGGTAGAACAACCAGTCTTAGAATTGACAATGAAGATATCAAAGTGGTAGATAGTTTCTGCCCTTTAGGATCAAACATCTACAGTAAAGGAACAAGCAGTCAAGAAATATGCCACACTAGCACTTGGTACAGCAGCCATGAAGGCCTTGGGAAAAATATTCAAATATCATGATGTGTCTACACTTACAGAGATCAGAATTGTGCAAGCCATGGTATTCCCTGTGGCACTCTATGGAAGCGAAAATTGGACTTTAAAGAAGCAGGATAGGAAGAGTATTGATGCTTTTGAACTTTAGTATTGGAGAAGACTCCTAAGAACACTGTGGACAGCCAAGAAAACAAACCAATGGATCATCAAACAAATCAACCCAGAGTTCTTACTCAAGGCAAAAATGACCAGCCTCAAATTATCCTACTTCAGACACATTATGAGAAGACCTACTTTTCTAGAGAAGGTTCCAATGCTGGGAAAGATGGAAGAAAAGAGAAGATGACAACCAACAGCAAGGTGGATAGACTCAATTACAGTGGCAATGGGGGCACCATTTGAGAAGCTGAAGGACCAAGTTAGGGACTGATCATCATGGAGAAAATCTATCTATGTGGTTGCTAAGAGTCAACAATGCCTTGATGGCTCATCATCATCATCATCATCATCACAGAGAAGTGTGTCAATTAACTCAATGTAATCTAGGTTAATCAACACAACAGAGACAGCCTTGAATGGTCTATGACCCAACCACCAGAGTAAGTGTTGTGGTACTGTTTGTATTTCATTTCCTCTAAATTGATATTTTACAATTCCCACCCTCCTACTTGTTCTTGTGTATGTATAAATTATAGATATATTCACTCCTAGATACATGTATAAAATCAGATGAAAGTTTATGCAAAATAAATTTGCTAATTATTTAAGTATCACAAAACTTTGTTTATGCTGCCACATAGTAATATAACCCACTGAATATAAATATGGTCTCCATCCACTAGTTTATTTTTATTTTGCTAAGTGGAGAGAAGCATACGATTCTTACCTTGTCCAAACCACCAATTCTGGAGACATTCCTACTTGTATCCATTCTAGAGATGGACTGTCCTGCCCTAATGGTTGTGCAAAGGGGGAAAAAAACCAGGAATGTATTTGGTACAACATCTTAAGGCTTGTGCACTACAAAAAAAGAAGTCCTGATGAAATTAACCTGAATGGAAATAGTCAGCTGACATGCTTGTTTCTGCTTGAGATGACTGACCAGAGACCATGTTATTATACATTGTCAATAAAGCCTGGCTGCTGTTGATTGTGGTATCTTCTTCCATGGGTGTTCACAGCTCCTGCTGCTTTTGTCAAAATGAGAAAGCACCATTGCATCATTGTGAAAGAAGCTCAAGCCTTTCTGGATGCACATGCATTAGTTTCACCAGACTGACTGGTTTGACCCCCTCCCTGCAGCTGCTGCTGCCTTCCTGTCTCGCAGCGGTATCTATTTCAAGTCGATATGACACCATTGCATTCAACATTTTCCTACTCCTCATAGTCAGCGACCAATGAAGTGGGGACTGTGGGTGTAAATGAGGATAGGAAAATATTAAATGCAAAAAGCTAAGATCAACACACACACTCTTCCATCACACCACAGTACCTATCCAGTTTGCCCCACAAGAGTAGTTGTATAATCCTTCATTTCAGACATTGGCCAGCTCAGTTTGCTGGTTGCTTTTTAATCAACCAAGAAAGACCAGACAACATGAATACCTTATAGGACTTATAAATATGTAATGTATAGATTTAAAACAGCATTTGTCACATTTAGTTTTATCACTTATTATTACATTTGTATGATATCTATCCTTTCCTTTCAGAGCCCTTACAGCTAACAGCAGAAACACACAATACAAATATAAAAAGGTATCTTGGCGCCAAGCCATATAGGACTTTCTGAGATAAACCTGGCCATTTGAATTGCACCTAGAAACTTATTAGTAACCAATGGAGGGCCCACAGAAAAGATGAAATCATGATCAGGATGACAATTGCCAGTCAACAAGTGGGCCACTGCATTTTGGACTAATTGAAGTTTCTGTGTGATCTTCAATGGCAGCCCCCTGTAGAACTCATTGCAGAAATCCGGACAAATTGTGATAATAGCAGGAGTTACTGAATCCAGGAAGAGCTGCAATTGGAGTACAAACTGAAGCTGGGCAATGTCTTGCTTGGCCATCCAGCAGTAGCCATGAGTCTAAGAAGACCCCCAAGTTGTGGCCCTGCTATCTCAGGGGCAGTTCCACCTTGGCGAGAGATACCTCTGGAGCTGGCATCTGTAGCTGAGCACTGGATTGCAATATAAAGCTGAGTATTGACAGCATATTGACAGTATTACAACTTGAACTACCAACTGACCTCTTCCAAAAGCTTCATATAGATGTTGAAGGACCAGTATCTGCAGTACTTCACAAGGGGGCAGCTGACCTCTCTTATCTCATCAGGTCAGATATTATAGCAATTCAGAGTCCCAAATGAGACTTGTGGTTGAATAAATTAGTTACTAACACATGGGGGAGGTAGGAGATGATTCTTAACATCCTGGGAATAAGAGGTAAGAGCAGATCTCTGTGGCCATACCTTGTACTATGTCATAATGTGGGTTGATTTAGGTTATTTTTCCACTAGCAACTTACAAAAACTTCTGGCTTTATATGACTTCAGCAATCGCTGGGATGATACTATAAAGACTCTTTAAGTCACAGGCGACAGAAGGCCCTTAGCTGGATTAGGTCCACGTGCTCGTTTTAAGGAAGTAAATTTTGAAATGATGCTTTGGAGAGATTTACTGATTGCAGTTGTGTTTAGTGTGATGTTTGATACAGACCCATGGCTTCTTTGTGGTTTCCTACCTTGTGCCTGGTTTTTGCAGGTTCTCCAACCATTGTTAGGTCAGTGGACACCTTTGAAATGTTGAGAGCAGGTCAAAGACACAGTCCCAATTGGCAGTCAAGAGTGGGGAATGGGAATGGCCCCTAATAAAACTGATAAGGTTGCTCCCCATTACCTGCTGTGACCTGCTATAAAGCACCAGAATCAAATATAATCTTCATGTCCAGTAGTAGTACTGGTCCTAAGATTATACAAGCATTCTTAGAAAGCAAGACAGTGAATAGCTACAGCCCTGTATTTTATTTCAAAAACCTCCCACCTGCTCAGAAACCCAACAAGAAGAAGCTGAAGTAAGAGGGACCTCCCGGGAGACTGGAGAGAAACAACCACACAATTGGCTTGCTGATAAATGGGTGTTTTGTGGTTGTCCGTAAGCTCCATGAGAGATTTTTATGGGATACGCTCTTGGAAATCCCAACCTCCTTATTGGCCTTTAAAGGCTTGGGCTCTCTGGCCTAGGTGCACATCAGGATGCCTCCTCATCTGTCCTGAAGGGTCTCTCTCAGTGGAACAGCAACATTACACTCCATCACCCTTTGGGGTCCCATGTAGGAATAAGAAAATTAGACAGCTAGAAAATTAAATAAAAGCAGCAGCACGCCTGCAATTCGATACCCACCTTTTCAAATTGGCTACTCCATATAAGTCTTCCGTCTGTGATGCCTGTCTCTTCAGTCTGAGTTTGACTAAAGCTTTATTGTAACCCTAAACAAAACAAAAATAGGATTGTTCAGTGGAAATACCTTTTCTTCTGGCTAAAAAAAAAAAAAAAAAAAGCAGCTAAACAACACTAGAGTCCAATAGCTGCGATATGTATGAGCTTGAGGTGGAAGAATGTAGGAAACACTAGGTAAGCTTGATTTGATTACTAGGTACAAAATGATTTTAGCATGCACCACAGCTGCAACCAAAAGCAATTATATCCTTTTGTACTGAAAATGTAACATGCTACAGTTACTCCAGATTGGAGCAACCTTGTGAGGTGGATGGAAGTAAACAAAACCCCAGCAAAATCAACAGTACTGAAGCTGGAAGTTAAGTATTGATCATGTATATGGTAAGAATGGCCAAGAGAAGAAAAGCTGAGTAACATTAGCATGTGTACTGTATATAAGGTGAGTCACCTCTAAAAAGTTTACAGGTGGAAGAACATCTGCTGAGTTACACAAAAAGCCAAGGCAACATTTCTGATTATAAGCACAAAAAACCAATATCCAGTTTAGAATAAAACTACCCCCTTTTTTCCTTTTTCTTTGTTTACGACCCATTCTGTTGAATAGTTCAGGAGAACACAAAAGCTTACATACTATATAGCCTTGAGTTGTCCAATGAAAATAATTTGGATGTATTAAGTAAATTACTTTAGGATTAATTGGGGTCGGAATGGAGAAGCAAATTTCCATTCCAGTATGAGGTAAGGGGGCATTTTTAAATGTATGGGCTACATAAATCAACACAGTACATGGACAATTGAACAGTCACTCTGAGCAGAAAATTTAGGCAAGAAGAAGAAAGGCCAAATACAACAAAAACTCCTCAAAATACTGGACTTATTCGTGCCACTAAAGGTCTTCTTGAACATTCAATTATGCAAATCATGCATTTCTTTTATTTACCGGATTTATATCACACCTTTTCTCAGAATGGTTCTATGGAAGGCTTAAAATAAAATAAGAAACATAAAATATAAAAAACTGAGAACACAAAACCAAACAATTAAAAGTGAAATAAAATGTGGTACAAAACAACTATATTAATGAGGTCTTCACTTGGTGCCAGAACTACTCTGGGAAAACTGCTCCACAAGTAGGGTATCCCTAGCAAAGGGATCCTTTCTTAACCATAATACTTCAGTTGACAGGGAGTTTGAGAATAGGACCTCTGAAGGAAATCTTAATGTTCAGATAAATGAATATAGGAAGGTAGAATTTCAGATAATTTTGTAATTGAGGACTTTAAATGTGTTTGGAAACTGGACCTGGAAGCAACATTGGGGCAGCTGAGAAAGCACCAGTTTCTGTTTGAAACACTCAGTTCTAGTTGAAGAGTTAGCGACTCTATTCTGGACCAAAGTTTCCTCATTGGTTTTACAAGCAATTGCAGACAATAGATATCTTGCAATGATGAAAACAGATTACCAAGGCATAGATAACTGAAGTTACTTTTTTCCAGCCAGGTAAGTTTAAAGTTACCATATGGGAAAGATGCTTTAAGCCACAGGAAACCTTTGAGCCTCTAATGAATCTGAAATTTTGGGGGGAATATGACTCCCATCAACAGCAGACTGATCACCACTCACTTAGGTGGCTAAATTGCCTCCTGAGAATACCACTAGATTAGCCTGGATTGAGTCTCAGTTCATTCTCATCCAAACTGATACTGATTCAGGACAGTCCAAGCAAGCATCCCTGAGAATGAGAAACAAAGCTGGTCTTTCTTCACAAACAGGTAGAGCTTCAGACCAACCCTCTGGATGACTTCTTGCAGCCCTTTAACACAGCATATTTAAAGAGCATATCAGAAAGAACAAAACCTTCTGGAATTCAAAAGCAGCAACTATCCTGTAGTAACTATCCAGAAGCAGAATGATTGTCAGAAAATTCCTCTCCCACATAATCAGGACAGCTTATTATGGCTAATGGCATCAAAGCTACCAAGAGTTTCAGGAGAATCACCAGGATTGCACTTCTGCTGACTTTCTCTACAAAAAGTTGACTCCACAGGCTGACCAAGCCAGTGTTTGTTTGTATGCTTTCTACATGTCCATTTCTATATTAAAAATGCTGCAGTTTTGTAAACCATGGGCAAAAGAAAAAGTTTAAAGATGCCTTCACCTATTGTAAAATATGTGTAACATTATCCCAAGATAGAGATGTCGTGACTTATATGGGTATCCACCCTAAAGTCCTGGGGACTGATGTGCAATTTTCCTTTCTTTCACAGACAACAATAAAACATCCCTCCTATTCTGTAAAGTATTGGTGAAGTAGCAGAAGTCCATTCACTGCAATTTATGTAGCAGAGACCCATTGCTTCACAAATTTATGGACTAATAGAAGTATTTATTGAATTGTTTTTCAGAGCACTTTTTAAATAAAGTATTAAGAAAAACAGTATCGGCAGCAATTAACTATTCCTTGAACTGAAAATTAGTGTCCTCAGAATTAAATGAGCAAGATATCTTTAAGTTCTTACCTGTTTAATAAGATCACTGATCTCAAATTCTCTGCTCGGAATCACTGAAAAGTCAGCTTTCACTTCAGAGTATGTGTCGTTAATGATTGCCAAGAACATGTTCTACATGAAAAAAGAAAATTCCATGTGAACAAATAATGCATTAATAGGCAAAAATCTATTAGATGAACCATCATGTTCCAAAGCAAAGCATATTGATGCCAGGATAATCAATACAGGGCAATGTAACAATTTTTTTTTAAAAAAAAAATAGAGCATCCATCTTAGTATATATCACGCTTATAGTACCCTGAATGTATTTTCTTCCTGTATGACACTTGCCATCACAAAAGGTGTGAGTAAATCTTGCTGGTTGACATCCCTGATCGTTACTTATCATTTGCACTGTAAGAATACCGTACTTGATAACCTGATGAGGATCCTGGACTCAGTTTGCAATCTGAACTCATGACTTTGTCCAAGAGGTTCAAAGCAAACTTCACAACCAATGTTACTCATGATTTCTGATTGGCCGCTGCAAAGAATTTTGCCCAAGCCTGCCACTCAAAATGAAATGAAAGCAAGGAATATTTTAGTGATGGGTATGAGGGGGTTGCACAGTGTACTAGTTGAAGTTGCATATCTAGCAGGCTTACCCAGAGCTAATTTATTCAGAAGGAAGGCTTTTTCTCTTTTTTTATCTCGGTAAATTATAGCAATAAAAATGTATTTAAAACTCCAACAGAAGTTTCTCACAGAATCATACCCATCTGTTTACAAGGTGGCACAGAAGGTAGTATCCTGTTTGTAATACTTCCAGTTGTGACACAGCCTATTTCTTAAAATAGGCCATGTGGGGTTCACAAGCCTTTTTCTTTTTATATTCCCAAGTGAATTGTCACAGGACTGGAGTCTTAGATCTCATGCCTGCACAATTTAATTTACTTGGAAGGAATTAGGTTGAGATGCCTGACTATACTTTGATTTTCTCATCTTCTTAGGTCTCAGTAGAAATTATGAAAAGCAACTTTATCCTTGAGGGTCATGCCTACCATGAACTATCCCTATTGATAACCTCAAGATTAATCTGAGAAAATTAGTAGAGTTACTTAATAAAAACAAAAAGCCAATCTCCCACATCCAACTCCAGTACTCTTATTTCACCTTTTGAACCAGAAGTTAGGCATGTAATAGGAGCAGGGATACTTTTAACAAATATTACAGCTTTCAGAAGACATTTGATATTCTTGGGAGAATGTGTACTGATTCATTTGTAGGACTGTAGAGCTAAGCATTACATTCTCATGTGTCTGGGGCTATGAAGTGTAGACTTTTTGCTGGGAAGGACAAACAGGTGATCCTAAACTGTACAGGGATTTGGATGCTAGTAAAGTGTTTTTTACACCCAAAGACTCGCCTATACCTACTGAAAAAATGCACTAGGGTAATTGTATCACTGATAATGTTCTTGACAATGATAGGCCTTAAGATGATACAAGAATGACCCATATCACTACAGATATCTTGGATCTTTCAGATTCAAAATCCCTCTATTCACCAAAAATCTCAGGATTAACAACCTCTCCATTTTATCAGTGTCTTAGAGCCCACTTAAAAAGATAAATTCGTAGGAAACGATGGACCACTCCACACTTGGCAATTTCTTCACCACCACCAGATACACATATCTTCTACCAACTGTCAGGATCTTTGTAGCCCAGACAAAGTACCCCCAACCTTGCATTCCGATTCAGTTATCCAAGATTGCACTTACCAGCAATACGAAGAATACAAAGAATACAAATGTGATGAAGTAAATTGGTCCAAGAATTCGATTTGCATGTTCTATGTCAGCAAAATTAAAATCTCCAAGTACAATACGAAACTGGGTAAAACTTAAGAGGAAGCAAAAATATGATATTAAGTATGATGTTCTATGATTCTTACTGAGGCTGCAATCCTGCGTACAGTTACTTGGTGCCACTGAACACAGAACATATTTGGAGTTAACAAAGTTATGATTCCTGTGTAAACTATTCTACATTGCATAATTCATATTAAATTTAGTAATATGAAGAATCATTCATTACAAGTGACTTACTATCATTAGCTTACAAACGTATTTGTGTTGAAATTGGGCCAAATAATGTCTTACTATTTTAGATATTTGCCGTATTTCTTAGCACATCTCCTAAAGCAGTCCAATGATATCCAAGAAACTGACAAAGTTATTTTGAGAAGAAAAAAGCTTAGAGCGTGGCGCTGGTTGTGTCCTGCTTGCAGGAGCGATACCAGGTACAACCCAGTCACTTTGTTTTTGAAAGTTATCCAAATTGGAGAATGATTCACTTTCAAGTAAAGGGTGAAAAGAGGTGAGGAGATAAATAGAATGGGTCTGTCTCTCTCTCTCCCCCCCCCTCGCCAACTGGGTGCTCGTGTGCCCATGAACATTTCCTATGCTGCCAGACCTCCTGCCCTCCCTACTTAATATTCTTGAAATATTATTATAATTCAAACAACATTAAAAAGGAAGGTGGAGTGCTGCAAACAAAACATCAACCTCCAGAATGCTAATGGCCTTACACTCCATTTTGGTTCCAAGGACATTCTTGGTGCTAGGGAAAAATGTCTGTGTAGTCACGTGCTTTGTTAAGGTGCCCACTTGTTCAGAAAAAAACGTACAGAGGGTTTGCAGCGATTATCCTTGACAGTGAGCTAGGTCTGTGGCTATGAGTGACCTTACCAGTTGGGATAATATGACCAACATCAAGTAGTAGTTTAGATCTGAGGGCACAAGCCATAGAAAAGCGGATCTTTGTCTCCTAGACAACCACCTTTAAAATGATTGGCAAGGGGTAGAACATCTCTCCAATGGAAGATAGGCTTTGCTCTCCTGTTTCCGATGACTATGTTGGTATTGCTTGTCCCATCCATGCATTTTGAGAAGGGCTCGTGGGATTCAGCAGCACCAGGTAGTTCCGGAACTCCACAAGATGCTACTATCAAGTATCTCACGTTCCCTGACCCCCCTCTAAAGAAAATGCTGCTCTAACTGATGACACAGTGACACAACAGTATTAGATTACTTGGAATGTTCCATACATGCAATTCTGAAAAGTGGAAAATTCATCCACTTGTGACCCAAAAACCAGGTAGCCCAGCTGTGCGTATGCAAAGAAGATGATAAAGAACATGATGGCAAATCCTATGATGTCTTTAGCACAGCGGGACAGAGTAGAAGACAGCTGAGTCATTGTCTTGTTAAAACTTATGTATTTAAATATCTGAAAGAGAACAAAACAGATAACATTACAATGCGGCCAAAACCAAAATCTTCCACATATTCTTAAATCTACCCACTAAAGAGCTTTCACATAACTCTCAAGAAATCAATATTAAATTGTAGAAACACTCAGGTCAGTTTGAGATTAAAGAACAAAAGGATCCACAAAAGGATTTATAGAAGAAGGATTTCAATTAGATAATATTGCATCTATTACATTCAAAGTTTATTTCTGCAAAGATTCTGAACTGTCCCAGCTAATCTCTTTATGCCAGCTTCTAGCCCACTTCCAGGGCTGATTGAAAGGGCTGGTCTTAACCTTTAAAGTCATCACTAAGGCCCAGCTTATCTGAAGGAGCTTTCTGGGCACCGGTTGCAGGTAGTCCTTGGGTTAGGACAGCAATTCGGACCAGAATTTCCATTGCTAAGCGAAGCAGTTGTTAAACGAAAAAGCAAGTGGCCATGCTGCTTAGTGATGGCAGCCCTGGTTGTGGTTGTTAGTTGAGGACCGCACATGACTGTAACATAAGAAGAGGCACTGAAACCATGTCCCAGGCAAGCAGGCTAGTGGGTGGGAGGGTGCCATGGGTGGGCACTATGGAGTACAGGTGGGCAGGCAGGTGATGCAGGCAGATGCTGCAGAGAGTGGGCAGGTGGGCACTATGGAATGCAGGTGGGGGGGTGCCACAGGCAGGTACTACAGGGTGTAGGCGGGTGCCACGAGCAGGCACTACAGAATGCGGATGGGCTCTATGGAGTATGGGTGGTTGGGTGCTACGCAGTACAAGATTCCCATGCCACCCAGGGGCTCCTCAGGAGAAAAAGGGGCAGGAGTGGGAGTGACTTGTGGGAGTGACTTGCAACCTCCTACTGGCTTTCCCATTGACTTTGCTTGTGGGAAGCTGGCAGGGAAGGTCACAAATTGTGATCACGCAACCATGGGGATGCTGTGATGGCCACAACCTTGAGGACCGGTTGTAAGTCCCCTTTGTTCAGTGTTACCATAACTTTGAATGGTCATGATCCAAGGACTACCTGTAAGGCCACATTCCACGGCCACCACCTAAGAGGGACTTTAATGCATTATGGTTTTCTTTGTGGCTTTTCAACCTCCCAGGCCTTTTAAAGCCCCAATTTAGTATTTCTGATCTTTATCAATTTATCATGCCACTGGCTTTATTCTGATTTTTTATTCCCTGCCACCATGTTGTTAAAGGAAAAACTGCAGTCACATTTGTTTCTAAGTCATTCCAGGAAGGAAGCCTAATCAAAGAGCATGAACGAGAAAGGAAAAAAATGCATGCAAATGTTCTTTAGACTTTAAAATGGGCTTAGAATGTTTCTTTCTCCGTTTATAGTTTGTTGTAAGAGCTACTTTTTTTTTTTTAAAGACTCTTAATAAGGTTAGCAGCAGTACCTTTATCCACGCAAAGAAGACGTTCACTGAAATCATATTATTGTAACGGGTCTGCCAAAATCCAAGGAAATAAAAGTCTGGATAAGAATCTGAATTGGAGAGCAGATTTTCCATAAGTCTGGATACCTCAACCGTTCGGTAAACATTGAAAGCAATAGCAAAAACAGACAACTGAACAGGAGAAAAAGCAAAGGGTTGTAAGGCTGCAACTGAGAAATTAATTGAATGAGAAAATCAATTTATGCCTGCAAATCATATCTTTATTAATATTACAGGATGTAGGCAAAATACCTGCGAGGACTCTGTTACTTTATGAAACATCATACCCTGTTATTCAGTATTTTATCCTTCAGTGATCTTTTAGAGGGAAGCCTTTCTAAACTGTAATTAAATGCATTTGACAATTTACTTGACAGCATATATGAACTGCCCTATGCAAAATTACTTTGGGCAGCCAACAGCAATACTCCAAATTAAAACACAGTATAAAGACGACAAAGGCAGAAAGCAAAACAACCCCTCAATTATAATCAGCACAACCAACAATTCCTATCAGTCGGCACCAAAAGCACCCTGGGACTGCTGTTAGCACTGACTTCAGTTGTCTTCGAAAGATAGCAGGAGCCATCTGAACCTCCAGGAGGGTGGCATTCCAAAGCAGGGCCCCTACCGCAGAGAAGGCTCTCTAGGTGTCCTGGCTGGATGGGCAGATTCAATGCTAGCAAGGCACTGCCTGGTGTATCCTGGTGCTGTGCCATTTAAGGACTTTAAAGATAATGCTCAGCATTTTGAATTGGGCCCAGCAGCTTATTGGTAACCAGTGCAGCAATTCTAAAATTGATATTATTCCATCCTGGTGAGGTTGTCCTGACAGCAATTTAGACCCTATTTGTTATATCAGCTGCAGTTTCCATGTTGTCTCCATGGCAGCCCCATGTACAATCCATTACAGTAGCTCAGCCAAATGCTGATCCGGGCATGAATTAGTCATCAGGGCATCCTGGTTCAGGTAGGACTGGAAGCTAGAGTTTAGAGTCCAGGAAAACACCTAAGTTACAAACTACCTCCTTCAGGGGAAGTGCAACCCCCTCCAGAATAACCAGTAAGGCTAATATTCTCAGATTGCCCAGATGTTAATGAATGAAAGAAACTCTGTCTTGACAGGATTTATTCTGAGCTGGTTTCACCCCATCCAGATCCTCGCAGCCTCCAGTTCAGGGCTTCCATTGCATTTCCAACTTGGCCTAGGCTGGTGAGTATAATAGGTGTCATTAGTAGATGTAAAATAACATAGGGAAGAACCTTATGGGACCCCATACTGGAGCGCCCCTGGCCTCAAGCATCCACTCCCATGACCACTGTCTGAAACTGCCCACTCAGGTAGAAGCAGAACTACCATACTTGATCCTAAAATGTTGTAAAGACAACAAAACTAAGTATCAACTCTAAAGTACAAGAGCATTTTTAACACTTTACTTTAGCAGAAACCAAGAATATAAAATGTTTTTGATTTATTGTGGATATACAGATGGTCCTCGTTTAATGACCACTCATTCAGTGACTTTACAAACTTACAATGGCATTGAACAAGTGGTATTTACAACTGGACCTCGTACTTATGGACATCACAGCATCCTGCAGTCACATGATTGCAATTTGTGACCTTCCCTGCTGGCTTCCCACAAGCAAAGTCAATGGGGAAGTTGCCAGGAAGTTAAAAGGACAGTCACGTGAGGTCCTTGCTTAGCAATGGCAACCAGGACTGCTGGAATTACTGTTGCTAAGCTAGGCGGCCACATAGTTTTTCAAGTGATGACCACATCACTTAAAGATGGAATTTCTGGTCCCAATTAGCATCATTAAATGAGGCCTACCTGTATTGGCAATCAGATAAGTTTTGTATGTGGCTGATATTGCTCAACATTTTCCTAAGTATTTATTTATTTATTTCATTATATTTATTCTAGCTGACCACTCCAGCAGATTCTGGACGACTTACAAAATCTAATTCAAAGTTAAAACAGTTGAAAACATAAAACGAAACAGCCCAGATGAAAAACAGCCATTAAAATACAGCACTGAAGGTCCCTCCCCAAACACATTATCTCCAGGACTGGAACCAAAGCCAGGTTTTAGTGGCTTTTCTGAACTCCAGGAATATTGGGGAATGCTTTTCCGGAGAGTGGAGGCCATGACAGAAAAGCCACGCTTCCTAGGTTCCACAAGATGGCAACATTTAATACAAGGGATCTGGAGTGTAGCCACTCTGCCTGAATGCACCAGGCAGGCAGAAACAAGGGATGAGAAGTGGTCCCTCAGATAATCAGGCCCTACGCTTGAAGGGCTTGAAAGTAACAACCAGCACCCTGAAATGCATGCGGAAGCCAAATGGTAGCCAAGGAGGCTCTTGTAGTAGTGATGACACATGGGCACAAGTGCCCATTACTGCTTGTGTCACTGCATTTTGAACCAGCTGTAGCTTCCGCATGGTCTTCAAGGACAGCCCCATATTGAGTGTATTGCAGTAGTCCAATCATGAGGTGACCAGGGCATGGGTGACCATCCGCAGGGCTTCCTAGTTAAGGAAAGGGCACAACTGATGTTCAAGATGTACTTGTGCAAAGGCCCTCCTAGCCATAGTTGCCACCTGCTCTTCGAGCAGTAACTGTGAGTCCAGGAAGACCCCCAAGTTGGGCACAAGTTTCGAATGGGGAAGTGCAATCCCATCCAAAAACAACAGTGGAAATGTCTCTGGCCCAGCAACGCCAAATGGCCACAGCTGTTCAGTCTTGTCAGGACTGAGCCGAAGTCTGTTCCTCCCCATCCAGACACAAATAGCCTCCACGTGCTGGGTCTGTACCTTGACAGCTTCTTTTGCACAGCATGGGGTACAGATGTAAAGACGGGTATCATCAGCATACTGATGATACCAAACCCCAAACCGATGGATGACCTCACCCAGTGGTTTCATGTAGATGTTAAACAGGAGAGAGGTAGGTGAGGGGCTGTGAGTGTGATCTCTCTCCTGTCGACACTGAATTGAAGCACTGCAACACACTGGCTCCTGCTCCCAACCCTTGCAGTCAGCCCAGAAGAATACCATGGTTGACAGTATCAAAAGCTGCTGTGCACTAGGATGGATGCACCACCCACATCCCAGCTCCACCAAAGGTCATCAATAAGCACAACCAGTGCTATCTCTGTAATATGCCCTGCTCTGAAGGCAGATTGAAACAGGTCCAGATAATTTGTTTCCTCCAAGAACCTCTTGAGTACCTTCTGGCTGCCTTAACAACCCAGGAAGTCACAATCTAATAAACAGGTGGTTGAGTTGACAGACTGGAGGACTTTGTCCACTTCCTCAGGAATCACAGAATTGAACTTAGTCCAGATAACCTCACAAGACTGTGCTCTGGGGACCTCACCTGGGCCTGCCCAGAGTCCAACTCTGGTGAATCTGAATGAGTTTATCACTCAAATAGTGTGAATACTCCTCACAGATAATCCTGAAGTCTAGTCCCCACAACGAGTCACTCTGAAAAGGGCTACTGGGTGGCTATTGGCAGACACAGTAAGGATGGAGGAATAATGACGTTTTGCTGCCCTTATCGCTACAATGTAGCCCAAATATGGGCTCTAACTTGTGTTTGGTCAGATTCACTTATCTTCCTCCAATGGCACTCCGGGCATTGCTTCTGGTACTTCATCTCCCAAAGCTCCTTGGAGAACCAAGGTGCATCTCCTTACATTGTTCTCTTTCTTGTCCTTCAGTGTTCCAAAACAAAGGAGTTCACTGTGGCAAAGCCTCCTCTGATTCATCAGTTCAAGCTCTACCTTTCATTGGACCAATGTACGTTATGCCCTCTGTCCCATTCAAGGCAGGATGGAAAGAAATGGTTTTCTACCCTCCTCCTATTTCAATTTGGCATTTGTTATAAAACCCATTTGCTACATCAGTGACATGTAAATGCTGAAACTTACCAGGAGCAGTAACATATCCAACCAATTCCAAGCATCTCTAAAATAATCTCCTTTCAGTTTCTTCATTTTTATAAATTCTTGAATAAGGAATGTGAAGATGAAAAGACAGAAGATGACTTCACAGGAGGCTAGAAAATAATCATAATACGTGACGTATCTGAGAAGTTTTACAGAATGGAACTGCCAAGAAGGGATTACACCACCTGTTGCAGGAAATTCCATAGTCAGCCTGTGAAAGTAAAACAAAGATACTATCTTTGTATCCAGGTTGTGGACCGTGGGTGGCCACTTCCTAAGATGCAAGCTAAATGAAACCATGAGGAAACCCACACCAAGAATATAGGTGTTGCTATTATTTCAATGCTGCACAACTACTGATCATAGCAGTTTTGTTCATCTTTAATGAATATGTAATTTCTATAATATGAATTTTGATGATGATGATGATGATGATGATGATTTGGTATATATACACGTTTAAAAAAAAAACAGCATAAGAGGGTTCAGGAAGATTGACAGAAAGGAGACCCTCATGGAATCCCTGAGCTAAGGAATGCAGCTCAGTGCAGAGGCATGGAGCACTGGAGAAAAGCAGAGCCAGGAATGAGGCCAAAAGTTCAGAGGTGAAGAAGTGGAGTGTTGAGTTGGCGCGAGTGCAGTGAGCAGGTAGAACCAGAGGAGTGAGATGAGAAGGGGTAGAATTTTGGAGAGTATATCCTAGAAGACAAGTAGAAGCTCAATACCTAAAGGGGAATTAAGAGATGGAGAACCTCTAGACCTGAAGACACTTAAAATCTCAAGGGAAGGATACTGCCTACAAGAAATGGGAGAAGCAAATATCTCGCTGCAACTCTATCTCCAGTAAAAATTGTAACTGCTTGAAACTCTCAACTAGCCATGTTTTTTTTATGAGGACTTTTCATGTGGAGCTCAGTCAAGTCAGCCCTAACAGCACAGGTATTTCAGCAAATTTCTCTCAAAAATAGGATATGTAAGAGAGAGTGATTAGAAGAGCTCACCTGACTATACAAAAAAGGTTAACATTAGCATTATACATTGAAAAATCAATGAAGACAACCCTTGTTCCTCGGGTGATCCAGCTGTGTTCCTTGAGGAAGGCCAGTGTCTGTAAACTTTGTTCCTTTGATTTGCTCAAGGTGAACATAAATCCTCCAGTACTATATAGACCAATAAGGCCCCAATGCCATGGAGCTAGAGTAGAAGAAGTGGAGTAATGCCACCTGGTGGAAAGAAGAGTATGAATCTATTCTTTGAAAGTTAAATGCATTATTCAGTCACATACAGCTTTCTGACAGTAAATAGTAAAGTAACATTTAGGTATCTGCCAGTCGCATTAGAACAGTGTTTCTCAACCTTGGCAACTTTAAGATGCATGGACTTCAACTCCCAGAATTCCCCGGCCACCATACAGGCTGGGGAATTCTGGGAGTTGAAGT